CGAGGGGCAGGGCCCGGCCGGAGGGGAGGGGAGGGGCGTGGCGAAGGCCGGGAGGGCCGAGGAGGGCAGCCCCAGCGGCTCCGGGTCGCCCGCGAAGCGACCCGGCGGGGCAGCTGCCGGGTGGGCGCCCGCGCAGGCCGGGGTCGCGCAGTCTCACCGACGGCCAGCGTGATGAAGGCCACCTGGATGAAGAGCGACAGCCAGCTCAGCACGTACATGAACCACATGGCGTCCCACCCGCCCGCGGCCCGGCCACCGGGACGGGGCTGCGCGTTTCGGCTCCGGGGACTCGGAGCCGCCGCCGCCGCCGCGTCCCCGCCCCGCGGACGGCCGGACGACAATGCGCGGCCGCCGCCGCCGCCGAGAGGGGCTCGGCCCGAGCGCTGCCCCCGGCCTGGTTAGAACCGGCGCCGCCTGCCGGCCGGGAGGACCAATCGCAGCTGCTCCGTTCGGCGCCGCGCCCGGACAGCTAGGGTCTCCGCCACCCCAGCCCCGCTCCACCTAGGGGGACGTCGTCTGCCGCAGCCCACTGGAGGCCGGACGGTCCCCAGGGATAGGGACTAAGCGCCTGTACAGGGGCTCGCAGTCAGCCCCCGGGCCCTCCTTGTGCACGCGCGCTCCAGCCTGGAGGGGTCCAGGGCTGCAGAGGGCCACCTGATCACTCCCCGACAACCGCCCCAGAAGCCTCCCTGCAGGTTGCCCGCAGGGCTTTCTCTTGCAGTCGCCGGTATCAGGGACGATATTACTGAGCTCCTAACGTGTACCAGGCTGTACGTCCGTGACGGAAATCTGGGCAGATGACATAAATCATTTTATGGAGGGGGAAGCTGAGGACAAGGAAGGCTTCCCTGGCACAGCTCATGCCTCTAGGAAGCAACACCTTCGGGAGCTGGGGAGCCTTAATCATCCTCAAGCCTGAATCTCCTTCTAGGCTGAGTTCTTCTGGGTTACGTTCTGCATCTTTGTATCGCCTGCACCTAGCTCAATGCCGGCACGCCAAGCACCCACTAAGCGCCGAATGCATTTATTACATCTCTGGAAGAGTTACTGAGGGGACACAAGGAAAGCGACAGTCCCTGCGAGAAGGCCCCCATCTAGTGGCCGAGACAGGCATGCAAACTAAAATATGCATAACGGGAGTCTGGTATGATTCTTATCTCAGAATTAAATTTTTCGTGCATAAAAAGAAATGCATATTCCTTTAAAAAAATCACACAGAATTAATTACCATATGATTCAGCAATTCCACTTCTAGGTATAAACAAAAAAGAACTAAGAAAGTAGAGATATTTGTACACCAGTGGTCGTAGCATTATTCACAATAGTCAAAAGATGGAAACGACCCAAATATCCACCGATGGATGAAACGATAAACAAGATGTGGCATATACATGCAAGGGAATATTATTTGGCCTTAAAAAGAAGTGAAATTTTGACACATGCTACAACATGAATGAGCCTGGAAGACATTATGCTAAGTGAAACAAGCCAAATACAAAAGGACAAATACTGTATGATTCCACTCACATGAGGTACCTAGAATAGTCAAAATTACAGAGACAGAAAGTAGAATAGTGCTTGCCAAGGATTGGGGGATTGGGAATGGGGAGTTATCATTTAATGGGTACAGAATTTCAGTTTGGGAAGATGAAAAAGTTCTGGAGATGGGTGGTGCTGATGGCTTTACAACAATGTGATTGTTCTTAATGCCACTGAACTGTATACTTACAATGGTTAATGGTAACTTTTGTGTTATGCATAATTTACCAAAATAAAAAGTACATAAGACTACAAAGTAAATCATATTAAAATGCAAGTATTAAGTTTTTTTCTGATCTACAAATTAAAAAACAATAAAAAAATTTTCAGAGGAGCTTCTGGACAGCTGAAAACATGGAGGTTCCTGGAGGGTGGCAGACCTGGGGAGGGTGCAGAAGTTCCATGGCCGTTCCCCCATACCTCATGCTACACATCTCTCCATCTGTATCCTTTGTAACATCCTTTATCTTGTACCAGTGAACATTAGCAAGTGCTTCCCTGAGTTCTATGAGCAGCCCCAGCAAATTAATCCAACCCAAAGAGAGGTTCTTGAGAATTACCTGTTGAAGCTGGTCAGTCAGAAGTGCCAGAGGCTGGAACTTGTGACCGGTATCTGGGATGTAGAGAGCAGTCTTGGGGACTGAGCCCTCAACCTGTGAGACCTGATGCCATCTCCAGGTAGAAAGTGTAGGAATGGAATCGGAGGACACCCAGTTTGTATCCACTGCAGAATTAGTTGCTTGGTGGTGGGGAGGACAGTCCACACATTTGGTCACAGAAGTCTTCTGTGTTGATGATTACTGTGATGGTGTGAGGGCAGAGGAAAAACACAGTTTGAGTGTTTTTTCCAAACACCATGGAATGCTCACTAGGTCAAAACTGCCCTTCTTGGGGACTTTTCTCCCCATGCTATATTACCTTTAATTAAGTAGAAATCTTTCTAATATGTCACATAGAGGCCATTTCACCCACTGCTATGTTTGGCTGCCAATCTCTTGTCTCTCTCTTCAGCAATAGTGAGGCATATACTTTTTCCTCGAGAAAGAGACATTCACCGTTTGTTACCTTTGCCCATAACAAAAATGTTGGAAAGCTGGGTGGCAAAGCTGTTGCCATTGGCATCTTTTACATGAACCACCTCAAAACACCCAGGATGTCTTTCTCTGTTGGTGATCACATTGATTCCTCCCAGATTAGCATCTCCAGTCACCATACACAGGTTACCAGTGTCAAACTTGATGAAAACTGCAATCTTGTCAGTCTCCAAATCAATCTCCTTGATGAGGGAATCAGGGTAGTGGATGCTGCAAGAGCACCATGAGTCACCGGATGAGGGATTCCTCACAGAGATCCTTCTCACTTGGCACAACTTGTACTTAGCCTCCCCAGGTGTGATATGATGAACAGCAAAGTGACCCTTGGTGTAATAGATCAGGTGGAAATTGTCTCCGGTCTTGTCAATGCTGATGACATCTATAAAGTCAGCAGGGGAAGTCATATCAGTCTGAACCTTTGATATTTTTTTTGAGTTGTAGTCTCACTTTATCACCCAGGCTGGAGTGCAGTGGCAGGCTCACGGCCACCTCAGCCTCGACCTGTTGGGCTCAGGTGATCCTTCTGCCACAGCCTTCCAGGTAGCTGGAACTACAGGCATACATATCCACACGTGACTAATTTTTTTTATTATTTATTGTAGAGATGAGGTCTCACCAAATTGCCCAGGCTGGTCTCGAATCTGTGGGCTTAGGCAATCCTCTCACCTTGGCCTCCCAAAGTGCTGGGATTATAGGCGTAAGCCACCACACCCAGCCCCACCATCGATCTTAATGAACTGCTACACGCAGGTCTTCTTTACTTCATCTCTGGTCAGAGCGTACTTAAGTGTGTTTCTTAGGAAAATGTTGAGAGGGAGACACTCTCTCAACTTGTGGGGACCAGTGGATGGATAAGGAGCAAACACACCAATCTATCCTGCGTTCAATGCTTTGGAGCTTTAATTAGGTCAAGATCTGAACTGATCTACAAATGCTTCTTGGAACCACAAGTCATGCCTGTGCTGGGCATGGAAAGAGACTTTTTTTTTCCTTTGAGTTGGGGGTCTCACTCTGTCACTGAGGCTACAGTGCAGTAGTATGATCACAGCTCACTGCAGCCTCTAACTCCTGGGCTCTAAGCGATCCCCCCACCTCAGTCTCCCAAGTAGCTGGGACTACAGGTGTGCACCACCACTTCTTGCTAATTTTTAAATTTTTTTTGTAGAAACGAGGTCTCATTGTTGCCAGGCTGGTCTTGAATTCCTGGGCTCAAGTAATCCTCCTGTTTAAGCCTCCCAAAATGCTGGGATTACAGGCATGAGCCATCGCACCTGGCCCCAACCACTATGACTTATGCCTGTGAATTGAGTTTTCCTACTCACCCTCTCTTCCCCTGTACAGATAAGTCACCAAAGATTTAGACAGCTCTAGGAATCCATAGTTTGCAGAAAGACCAGGAATGAGGACCACTTTCCAGCAGAAAGCATCAGGGGTGTTGAAGCCATCAGAACTGAGAAGCTAAAGAAATTAATTTGTCTTTGTGAAACCGGCACCAGATTTCAAAGGTGTTGATGAGTCAGCTGTTCCAGAAACCTTTGCTCTCTGGGAGGGAATTGGCGTCTCTATGCATAGGGAAACAGTCCTCTCCAGCTACCACTGCCCAGGCATCCTGCCTGCCGTCAGGGCCCAGTTTACACCAGTAATAACCTTGCAGCCCAATAGAATCAACCCCAGATGCTCAGAGAACCTGGTTCAAAATTAAAAGTGAAAAAATGTCAGAAAAATTTTTTTAGAAAACTAAATATGTGCAGTCAATGGTCTTTTTTTATTATAAAGATGTGGGTACAAGTCAGGGTTAGGTTTACAAACATTGATTAGGCAGGTACCCTTGTTGATGAAGTATGCCCCTCCCTCCCTAGCAGTTTCCCTCAACTGCTAATCCCACCGGCCCTCCTCTGACTGTTTTCCACTACTGCCAATCGCTTTCTTATAGCATTATAATTGTTCAAGGTCCATTTATGAGTGAGAACATATGGAACTCAGTTCTTTGTTTCTGTGATAAATCACTGAATATGATTGATTCCAAATCCATCCAAGTTGCTGCAAAGTCCATATATTTGTCCTTCTTTATGGCTGCATAATATCCCATTGTGTATATGTACCACATTTTTTTTTTTTTTTTTTTTTTAGTTGGAGTCTCACTCTGTTGCCCAGACTGGAGTGCAGTGGCCGCTTCCGGCCACCACAGCCTTGACCTGCTGGGCTCCAGCGATCCTTCCGCCGCAGCCTTCCAAGTAGCCGGAATTACAGGCATGCGCTACCACGCCCGGCTGATTTTTTGATTTATTGTAGAGATGAGGTCTCGCTGCCCTGGCGGGTCTCGAACCCGTGGGCTCAGGCAATCCACTCACCTCAGCCTCCCAAAGGCGCGGGATTACAGGCTGAGCCACCAAGCCCGGCTGTACCACATTTTTTTAAACCAGCCCAGCTTGGATGGGCAACACGGTTGGTTCTATGTTTTTGCTATTGTGAATAGAGCTGCAACAAACATATGTGTGCAGGTATCTTTTTTGTAGAATGATTTGCGTTCATCCAGGTATATTCCCAATGGGGGAATTGCTGGGTCACACGGAAGGCCAATTTCCAGTTCTTTCAGAAATCACCACGCTGTCTTCCAAAGAGGTTGCACTAGTTTGCATTCCCACCAGCAGTGTAGAAGTGTTCCTTTTTTTCCACATCCTCGCCAGCATCTGTTGTTGGGAAAACTAAATATGTACTATAGTGATACATGTGCTTATTTATTACTACATAACATAACAAGATCTCATGGAAAATCTAATAACTTTCTACCACAATGACAAAGTAATGAATGTAAATGATATGTAAGATAGATTCGATCTTCTGCAATGAGAGAGTCACAGATATCACTGACTACTGTGAGTCTGTTACCTGAAAAGTCACAATGGAAGGAAATACTACATTTAAGTTAAAGGTTAGTGCAAATAAAGATAGAAAGGTTTTGTTTCCCTGGACTCTATATCTGCTGACTTTTTTTTTTTTTTTTTGAGTCAAGAGTCTCACTCTGTCATACAGGCTGGAGTGCAGTGGCATGCTCACGGCCACTGCAGCCTCGATTTGCTGAGCTCAGGCGATCCTTCCACTTCAACCTTCCAAGTAGCTGGAATTATAGGCATGTGTCATCATACCTAGCTATTTTTTTTTTAATTTATTGCAGAGATAAGGACGTGCCATGTTGCCCAGGCTGGTCTGGAACCCATAGGCTTGGGCAATCCTCTCGCCTCTGCCTCCCAAAGTGCTGAGATTACAGGCTTGTGCCACCATGCCCGGCCTATATCTGCTGACTTCTAAGGAATCCCAAGACTCCAACTAAGAATTCCTGAGGGGTATGTATAAGGGGCAGTGGGACCTTAATGGGCCATATGCTTATTTACAAGGTTTTTTTTTGAAAGTGAGAAAGCAGGATTTATTGAAAGCACAGAAAAGCTCCCACAGTGGGAGGGGACCTGAAGGGGTTGCCCTACAAGGTTTTCACTGCAGTGCTGTGAGATGCTGAAAGCAACCTAAATGTCCATTTATAAGAAACTGGTTAAGTATTTCTGGTACATCATAAAGCAGAGCCATAACAATGAATGAGGGTATTCTTTATGTACCCATGTAGAACTCACTTTGGAAAAGCAAAAGGATGGTGACAAAGAATTTGTATAGGCATCCCTTTTTATAAAATATCTCTGAGGCCAGGCATACATGGTAGCTCACGTGTGTAATCCTAGTGCCTTGGGAGGCAGAGGCAAGAGGATTGCCTGAGTGCAGGGCTTCAAGATCAGCCTGAGCAACTTGGCAAGACTTTGTCTCTACAATAAAAAAATAAAATTAGCTAGGTGTGGTGGTGCACGCCTGCAGTTCCAGCTATTTAGAAGGCAGAAGGATCACCTGAGCCCAGCAGGTCAAGGCTGTGGTAGCCTTGAGTGTGCCACTGCACTCCAACCTGGGCAACAGAGTAGACTCTGAGTCAGAAAAAATATGTGTGTGTGTGTGTGTGTGTGTGTGTGTGTGTATAAAGTGCATATATATATATATATATATATATATATATATATATATATAATGGAAAGATACATTATAAAATGGTAACATTGCTTGCTTCCTAGGAAGAGAAGGGGTGGAGTTCAAGAGTAGGAGAGTGCTCACTGTGTGTCTTTTTTCTTAAAACATTGAACTATGTCAATATATGGCAATGCATTACTTATTCATAAACTGTCCTTACCCAGTCCCTTTATGAGAAAAGTCGCTGTGTGGCACCTTACTGGTAAATTGTCTAGCCTAGGGTCATGTGACCTGGTTATCTCTGATTGGCCCAACAGGAGAGCTTCATACTCAGATCTTTTCTACCGGGAAGTTTGTATTTGAGACACAGACGTGTCAGGGAGTAGATGTACAGTCAACTTTAAACTTGTCTTTTCCCTAACTATCCTCCCAGGGAGGGAGGAAGATATACAAGTATCCCCCACTCCACAACTATAGATGAGGGAAACTTGAGGCCCCTAAAGGTTAAGCACCTTTGGCTGAACCCGCATTGTTTTTTCCAGGGCTGTGCACTTTCACTTCTCTATAGTTTTTTGAATCAACACCAGCTTCCAGAAGGCAGGACTGAGGATCTGAATTTCCTCCAACAGCAGGAAGGAAGAAGCCACCATTTCCTGACAGTGGTGAGAAACAGACCCAAGGCTCCATTCGCCCGACAGGATGGGGCAGGGCTCAGGGAGGCTTCTTAGGACCACACTTAGGTAGGCAAGGGTCACAAGGGGGTGCAGACTCAGGCCTTGTTTGGAGGAGGGGTGGCAGTAGAAGAGCCCCTATTCAATGCAAGTTACTCATTTCAAGAGTGAAAAGGTTTGTACATTTGTTACTTTGAATTTCAACAGACCTCATTAATGACACATACTCATTCTAATGTTACACAGGCTTCTTTAACGTTTACTAACATACACATTCAAATATTACCATTTAATGCCTGTGGGGGTGGGGGAATGGACCAATTTCTGTATCTTTCAGGAGGGGTCCTAGGGAAAACCAGCTATTTCAACATCATATGGATCTCTACTTCCGAAAACTGAATCACTTTCAGTCTTTAGGCTAAGATGAAGTACAGAAAACAATAACTGCTTGCATTTATAGTGTGCTTACTCAGTGCCAGACACTGTTCTAAGTGATTTGTATGTATTCACCTATTTAACGCTCACATCGAATGTGGGAGATGTTAGGGTATTGGATGGACAGGGTGAGGGTGGAGAGGCAGAGAGATGCGCAGCACCACCGGGACTGGCAACCCAGCGATCCAAGCAAATGCAAAGAATTGCGACACAGAGGTGAGAGAAGAAAAGATTTATTTAAGAGAAGTTCGCCCCCCACAGACAGGGAGTGGGCCCACACTCTAGATGAGTGT